TCTTCCGAGAGCAGTTAGAGAGCCCACAAAGCAGTGCTGAGGCTCTCGGAACTGACTGTACTGTGGGCACTTTAATAAATTGTAATTAAATCCTTATGGACTCTGTTGCTAAAGGCTTTGTCTCAGTAAGACAAATTAAAGACAAATAAGATGCAATACAATGGGATTTAGGAGTTGAGTTTTTGTTCAGAAAAATCTTATAATACCCATAAAAATCAACAAAGAAACAAAGACCTAATCTAAATAAATAAAGTCCCTTCTTAGAACTGTATCATCTTGCACTTGCTCTTAAATATGATGTAAAACAATCATGTTTTCTGGTATTTTGATGCACACTTCTTGCAACAGTGCCAAGAATGGTTTACTAAGGTTGCTAAAAACATACTATACTGGAGATACTTTTAGGCTGTCATTGATAGTTTGGAATACATAATAAGTATGCCAGTTTGTTTCATGCTTCAGCAGAATCCATCTAAAATATTGCACTCATTAAAAAAAAAGTTGTACATAAATTGCTTAACATTATAAAGCAAGCAAGACATAGCCCAAATTAAAAAGCAACATGTGCTTTAGTTGTGTAATCACTGGTCCACTGATTCTAAGCAGCAAATAATTAGGTGGGTTATTCATATGGGACTTAATTATGACATTATGTATAAAAAAGAATAGTTAGACTGCTTATAAGAGTCAAAACCCTCCTCAAGGCAATGGCCTTGTGCTAGTCCTTATAGCACAGGTAACCTGCACAACTGTATTCAAGGGCTCTAGAGCTTGGGCAAGCCTAGCAGAGAAGTGAATTTTATTGTCGACAGCAGCCAGTATAGAAGAGTGTCCTGGCTACACTGGGAGGTCACTGGCGTTAACACGGTTCTGGAGAGCTACCCTGGAACTGAACGCAGAACTGGGATTACAGCGAGGCAGGTCGCCTTCCCATCACCCTGGCCAACGACGGCACCCGAGGGCTGCCAGCCTCTCACTCGTGGCAATCCTCAGGACACTGGTGACATCTCCCTCTGCTCCCAGCCAGGGCTCTAAGGCAGGAGAGCAGCCATTACTGCTCAGCAGTTCATACAAGGATTTGGAATAAAGTTAAACTGCAAACTCCATCACATTCGGCTGGGTAAAACAAAATTCTGCTAAACAGAAAAGCCAGATCTGACCACAAAAGATACCCCTATGTTGGGCTCTGTATGCACCGCTTTGGCAGTTTTGCATGAGGAAGACAGAAGTTTCTTTTCATTGAAGAGAAGATTAGAATTTCTCGCAGGTAGAGAGCAATTAAATTCAGATGGGAATTGAAGCAATCTACATTACAAACAGCTACTCTGAGGCAGCTGCAGCTGTAGTTCATTAAGCCTCCGCATACTATATCCTAAAAATGCTAAAGCAAGTCAGTACTTTCAAATGCATTTTAAATGTTTAAGCACGATAAAGTAAAGCATGTAAAAAGTGAAATACATGCAGTAAGTGCTACCAATATTATATAATTTTTGGCCATAAAAAGAGCTGAGCATGATAAAGTGTAGAAACTGAAAATTTTATGTACTCTACCTAAAGAAACGTTTTATCATTTCAGCATGTTTGAAATGAAATGCATCAAGGATCATTCATCCTCTGTTCTACTAGCTACAAGGACATAATCCAGTTTAAAATACATATTTCTTTATGCTGACAGCTCCATCTGTATTTCAGCTCCATGCAGCAGTGAAAGAGGTACAAACAACATATTCTTAATACAGTAAACAGACTCAGGTGAACACAGCAGCTAACCTGCTCTGCTGATTCCCGCTGTAGCTACATCGTGATGCGGCCCTGGCGGTAACAGCCCGGCCCGTGCAGCAGAGCACGTGTGTTTGCACGAGCACCTGCTTCAGAGCCATTCTGAACAGCAGAAGTTGGCCAGAATCATGGCCACTCTGACACAAACCCATGTCCTGGATTTGTTGTTGTTGCTGTTAATGCTGCATGCAACGAAAGGGGGAGCTCTGGCCTTTGCACACCAACTATTTCAAAACTTTTATCAGAAGCTGCTGAAAGACTTTTCATACTGATGGAAATGAAAGGACTCCTACGAGCACCAACTGAATTATGGTGTTTAAACTGAGGTTGAATTCGGCTCCTTAAAAACACAATTGACATATTCTTTAACCAACAGATTATACAACAGATGCAGAACAGTACGCCTAACACAAATGAAAGAAAAATAGTCAAAAAGATAATTTCTTACTCATTTGCAGTGTGCAGGTTTAGGGGACATTCCTTAACTTCTAATCTGGGCACGGAAAACCCTACATAAATTGCTGGATTCACAGGAGTGAAGTGCCCACCAACAGCTCTTAAAGGATCCTTGTGAAGAGTTGCGAAATCGGGTAGAAAATGAAACCCAACTCGCTCAACTAAGGCAAGAGCAAGTAAACAGTAGATGTTCAACAGATTGTAACAGACACTGGTCTAACCACCTCTTAAAAGGCTAATGGAGGAAATTCCAGAACATCCTTAACCTGTTTCAAGGATTCATTACCCACATGGCTTAAATCTCTTTGCTTATATTTGCTTTGCTGCAATGGAAACTAACCCAATTCCTTTACCCTGAGCAGGCAGTGGAAAACAAATATCCAAGCTATTCAAATGTGCATGGCAGACTGTCTTTCTGCAGTCTTCTTATTCACTGAAAAAGTAACTGGATATGAGTAAATATTACAAGGCTTAGACGCTCACAAGATTAATTTTCCTTTAGAGCTGTATCTACAACTAAAAGCTCAAAACGGTCAATATTTGCTTTACCCTTTGAAGTCTCATAGCGAGTAAGACAAATTACCTTTCGGATTTTTTTTTAAAACTTAGAATAGAGTGGAAAATGCTTAAACAATCCAAGGTGAATATATTAGTGCAACCTCAGGACAACAGTTATTTGTTCAATGACCAAGTATTCTGCTTTTATGTGCCAATTTACTGTGCTATCACAACAAATGCAGTCACTATAGCAACTCCCACAGCAGTACCATCACAGAAACAACATTCACCTTCCTAAATAAGCAGCAAATTTTCATGGCACTTTAGAAAAACTTTTTTTTTTTTTTTTTGGGAGAATAGTGTGTTCTGCAAAAAAAATCTCCTCACAACAGGTTCTTCTGCCAACATTAGCCAGAAGTGTCAGCGAAAACTCAGTGAAATCAGAAACAAAAAGAAACAATCAGCCGCCGCCACGCGTGACGCCAGCGGCTCTGCGCTCCGTGCAAGGCGCTGCAGGCTCCCTGTGCGCCCAGGGCAGTCCCGCTGCGGGGAGCAGGAACAGGCAGCACCACACGTCCAGGACAGGAGGCTGTTCCGGTCTCCTCCGCTGCGCGCTCCCTCCGCAGCCACAGGGCCTCGGTGTCGGTATCCACCAACCAACTGCTTCTGGTTCGAGGGACATTTGCCCTTTGCCAGGTGGAGTATTATAAAATAAATAAATTATGATTCACTAAGCACGGAGTGAGAAGTGATAAACTGCAACACCCACTCCCTGTCACATCACAAAACTAGAGAAGCCCTTCAGCAGTTGTACTTATCCTATTTTTCCAAGTCCTTTGATCAAGTTTCTTAGGCAATCTTCAGGCACAGGTTGACCTACAAATTCCCACAGCCCTTTTTGGTCCCCACATTTGGTCAGGATCGCTGTACAGACTAACGGAGTTCTTGCAGGTTTGCTCCATCATCTCCAGTTTGAGTTCTTTAATTATATAAATAAAACTAAACCATCTGCCACAAAGACTGTTTGTTAGGGGATGTGGAACTTCTTACCTGGCACCTGAACACAAAGTGCAGAGGAAGCACTAAACATTCACAAGATATCACAGCTCCCGAGAAAAAGGAATCAAATTTCACATAATAAACATTTATACAGGACTACTATTTTTTTTCCCTTCCCCTTGAAGAATCCTTATTTTATGCAGACTGAGTCAGCTACTAAAGAGGATGAAAGAATATTTAGTGAGATATTGGTTTATGTAGACTGTCCTGAATTGTTGTTCCTGAAGAAAGAAGTGGAACAGAGCACATATTAGAAATTCATCTATGACTTGCATCTATCATCATCAGGCCTCTGAAATCGGAGCGGGTGGTGGTGGGGAGTGCTAAAGGATGCATCCAAATTCTGTAAAGAAAGCACAGGGTAAAATGCTACTAAAGAATCATTCTCTTAATAAACTTTCCAAAATACTATAAATAACAGAACTTCTTCCCAACAACACAATCACAAAACTTGCACAGAACTTAAAAAGGAGCAAAATTAGACCCAGCATAAGTTATCTGCCCCCACAGTGTTACAAATCTTCATTTCTAATAATATTTAAATTTAAAATTCATGCTTTATTAACTATCGTAATGAAAAACAGATCGTTTCGAAATGTGAAAAAATATTTATTTCAATTTCATATAGAAAAAAGTGCAAACAGCTAAACAACTTAGTACTGACAAATTTCATCAATATTTAGTGGCAAGCGCTTGACAAAATAAGAATAAAGAGGGGAACCCAAACAGAGATCCTCCACATAGGGAGGAAACGGAGTTTAACAGACCAAGTAAGGCACATTGAAACTTTCCAGCAGAGCACTGTGATTAGTTTGAGGCACCAATGCTATTCCTTCCTCATTTACAAAATTATTACACACTAAGTAAAACATTTAAAGCCTATGCAATTTTTTTAAATACATAATTAAGAAGTTGTAAGAAATTTAAAAAATTGACCTACTAGAAGATCTGAATATCTGCTGCTTCATTCTGGCGCTACTGCATATATTGTTCTTCTGCATAGAACAGCCAAGAGAGAAGACACCAAACAGCTCCGGTCCCCAAGCACCCAGGGCCTCGGAAAGGCTGCAGCGCCCGCAGTGCTCCCGCGAGCAAAGGCACACGGCAGCCCTGCCGCTCGGCCGGCACCGCCGAGGCCTCGCGCCCCACAGCATCGGCTGTGCTGCTCCCGGGACAAGAGCAGCGCGGGCTGCAAGCAAACGGTGGAAGGGATAACGGCACAGGAGAGAGCAGCCCTTGCATTTTTCAGCAAAGGCTTCCATTGTGCACATTAGTGAAAATCAAAGATGGACATTATTTAAGCAATATATTCAACAATTTACCTGCAGGATTTTTTTCTATATGAAAAATACAGTGCTATGATATTACATTCAAAATGCAACTCAATGGAGAAGGACAAGTCCCAAGACTTTATAAAGCACAGATCAGTGATCACACAACCCTGAAAGAACGCATTGAAATTATTGATCCTAACATGCAACTAAATCAGTGCTGAAGAGATCCCAGCTATTCTGTGCCAAAAGACAACCACCTAATTCCTCTAGTGCAGGACTGAAAATAGCTATAGAAGGATGTCGCCAATCTCAGGAGAAATTCTCCCATTGCAAAAAGAAAGAGTCTGAGCAAAAAACAGTTTTGCAAAATGCCACTGGAACAAAAAAACGCTCCGTTTGTTAATGTTACTAAATGGACAGATGCCTTCAGCTTTGGTTGTATACTTGTGAGATCAACTGAAAGTCAGCGTGAGGGCAGCCCGCATGGAAAGAGGGTGCAGAAAGCCCGCCCAGTACCGCGGCGACGGCCCTGACTGACAAGCAGTGAGCGCAGGGTCACTCCAAAGCAGCAACTGAGCTCTCGAGGCTCCAGCCGGGTGCCCAGGGAAACGCCTTCCGGAAACAGAGAACTCACCGTGCCCTGTATCTCCACCATGCAAGATCTCCACAAGTCTGCTACCGCTTCCAGCTCCTACTGGACCTCAGATGAAATACAGGTACAGGAACAGTAACACTTCTAAAGCTGCATGAACAACACGTACATGATACAATTTCCGAAGCCTGTAGAATATACAGCCTTTTAAGAAAGAAATAGATGATTTTTAAAGGTTTAAATTATTAAATAAATACATTCTTTACATGGCACATCATCCATTTCCCTTTCCATATAAGTTCTAGGAAAGTTATTTTAAATCTATAAAGGAAAGTATTTTTGGATTTTAACAAAGACTGGCTTTAGGAAATTATAAGTAGCGATAAGTCACATATAATCTCTAGGTGAAAATGACAAGATCTAAGGAAGACTGCACTACCCAAGGTGATATTGAATAATTTCTTACGCTAACTATAGCTGCATTTTTCTTTCTCTACACAGCTTATAAGGCTGCTAGAAAGCTCAAGCCTATAGGCTGCTATCAATGCAATCTTTTAAAATGACATTTCACATGCCAATCCCAAAGCATAAGTCATCATGTACAGATAAAGTTTGCAAGTAAGATTTACGTAGTTTAAAACTATTAAAAACATAAATATAATGGTTTTGTAAGTGATGAAGAAAACCTGACTGAGAATGTGAGCAGTCAAAAAGCCAAGGAATTCTTCCAGCTACACAAAAGAAAGAGAGCACGAGCGAGCGGAGCGCGTGCAAAGCCATCCGTCCACCTAGCAGCCTTCTCCCATATTCTCCCATGCATCAAGACTGAAAAATGTAAACATCACAGTTTGATCCTCCCATCTCATCCTTCTGATACAAGCGCTAATTGAGTCTGAACTCTCCAAAACCCCAGCATATTTTGCAGTTTTGCAACTGGTAGCATACAAATCATTACAAATGAATAATCCTATAAATATTTTGGTAATTCTGAAGGGCACTTTGGAATTTTCATCAACACCTGCTAATTTCACCGTCTCTCAAACCTACGAAGCCTTTGCCTTCTCATTTCCTCTTCTGAAAGCTGCTCAGATGGAAGCCAAAATCCATAGGGTCGCCGCACGTTATGTGTTGATCCACCAAAATCTGCAAGACACGATGAAAAACAATTGCTATTTTGTTCTTTAATATGGGCAAATTCACAGATCAGCAAAACATGCTAACACAGAGTTTAATGTTTCCAACTCCAATTGTTTAGGACAATCACAGTCCACAGCAACTGTTCTTACAAAAACATCCCCCCCAAAAAAAAACAAAAACAAAAAACAAACAAGCCAAATAAGTCAAGTATATATTTCCTTAGAAGTTCACATTTTTCACAATCCCCACAATCCCTACTTCTTAAATTCTAGGTTATACTTTTTAGATGTTCTCAGTAGTTTCTCCTGGAAAAATGAGCTTTGGAATTAGCTGTTAGTATTGCTGTCCAAGATGTGGTGACCCATACCAGATGTACATAAAACTCCTTTTTAGTTGACAGCAAGCAATTAAGAAATAAAATACATGTGGCAGTTCAGCTGGAGAGAAACTGTAAGTAAAATAATTTGAGCAGAAATAGCACACAGCAAGGCTGACAGTTCTCTGTCCTGGGTAGTCTCTCCTGGCACTGCACGAGAGAAAAAGAACCATTCCAGCAACTGTGAATCCAGAATTCACATCGAAGGCATAGAGCAAAGTAAGGAGCAGAGGCTGTGGTTACTCACGGCCTCAGCCTCCCACACCCTGGCGGGACTCGGGAGACAAAGATGTGAGGCTGCCTTCCAAGCTTATGTGCAGTATTAAGGATAAATAAACTAGCTTTAACAATATCATTTCAGACTTGGTAGTATCTTGCATTAAACATGCATCTCGGGACCTTATTTAAGTTAGCAGTATGAATTTGGAAACAAAAAGCAAGTATCATACTAGTATGATCATTTTCAAGACAGACTTTAATTACAGCTGTGTCTTGTAACAGAAATTGCACTGAATAGAGTAAGGTCTATTTATGTTGCACCATCAGTGAAAGTCCTGGTTCCAAACATCCCTGTTACTTTCTGAACCAATTACAAGCGGCTGTACTCACAGAGTACTCACCAACAAATGCAAGTTTCTGTAAAACATTAGAACATCTATATCACATTTTCTTCTTTACTTGCAGAGAACTTAAACTCTTCGAAGTTCGAAAATGCCTTGAGATAAGTAACTGCTCAGATAATAGTAGATGGGAATATTAACCTGAGTGTTTATCAGATGAGATGCACCATTTAAGAGGATCTTTACAAATTCATATTAGCATGCAGAAAGTGAATTTAATGTGTGTATGCGTTTGGTATTTTATCTTCAGCTTGTCCCTGTGTCTCAACTGGCTAAACGCAAAACTGGAATGCATGCAGGCTGTTCCTCGATCCTCTGAAAATGCCATGCCACTATGTGACCAACACTGTGCAAAACCCCTGGATATTGTCAGCACCTCTTGCCCTACCTCTAAGCACACTTTCCATTGCAGAATAGCATGTGATAGTAAGATGCCTAGTATGTTCATCACTTGTAAGCAAAGTAGAAAATGTTTTTAAAAAATAAATTGCTCCATTATATATTGACCCAGTAAGAAAAGACTCTTGATGTATTTGAAAAGCTTTATGGTGATCTTCAAGAAAATATGTATTTGTACATCAAAAATGCAAAATGAAGAACTGTCTGAATGCAAGGGTTCGAATATATGTATTCATATATATTTATGTATGTATTTAAATAATCTTCTTACCCAAAATAGTTCCCTAACATCTTTCATTTTTAATACAATAGAAATGTTAATAAAATAACATACTTAAACAAAATATGCAGAAATAGTATTGTCACAACTACTTTCTATGCAGAAAAAGACACAATCTTTTCAGCACTGCAGGAAGAAAAAAAAAAGATATATATATATATATATATATATATATATGGAGAGAGAGAGTGTCAGGGAAAAATAGTTCCTCCATATCTGAGGGAAGCTAAAATACATAGAATTGAAGGCAGTTATCAAATAGCAGGAGTTCCCACTGCAGCTTTTCAGAGATCAGAGCACTGCATCACCTCAACACCACAGTCTGCGCCCGGAAAGGCCGGATTCACAAACAACTAATTCCAGTCAAAAGGCATGTCAGACATGGAGGAGAAGCTGTGTGGGCATCACTTGATCCCGTCTAGGCTTAAACTTCATCTTTTTCAAACAGTTCCAAGATTTGAAATGTCATTTTGGAAGACTATCAGGAAAGTACCCCATACTGAAAAGCAAAGAAGCTAGCAAAAAGCAGCAAAAACTGCTTTAAGCTATTTGGAGAGAGCTTTGGGGAACAATTTAATAGCCACTAATGTAACTTATAATGACGTGAGACCTGAGCCCATCCGCGCCTCGCAGGGGAAGGTGCCTCCCGTGACAAGGCTCCGTCACCCAGCAGATGGCACCGTGGCCGCACGGGCTGCCACGGAAATTAGGACAAGCTCCAGCCAATGAGGCATTCTGCGCTGTAAGCAGAATTAGGGTTATTTTGAAACAGATGGGCTCTACAGAAGCTGCTGCACTGAATATTAGAGAGTTGTTTATTGTCTGGCTGGTCTGAAACCCAGGGATTACTTGCCAGCATCTAGCAGTTTCTCTGTCACATCAGGTTTCATCAAAAGGAAAGCAAAGTGAAAGCCACTGGAATAGATAGATAGATATGTAGATAGCTAAGATTTTTAGATAGATAGGTATTTTTTGATAATAATAATAATCCAGTCCTAAGTTCAGAGCTTATATTTGCCATTATGTATAATATTTATAGCAGAATGTTTGCTCTGAAAAGAGCAGCTGAATAACCAATGTTTTAATGCTGCAGCTGAACAGCTACACATCCTGCTGTCTACAAAACAAGCTGCTAAGTTTTGCCTGTCTTGATAATAAGTAAAATGTGTCTAGTATTTTTAGCATAAGCATTCTCAAAACAAGGCTGTCCTTGCACGTGTGCTACACTCTTCTCTTGGGCTTTTTACTCTAATAGCAATCAGTTCAAGGCTCTTTTTCCCAGATCTTTTTCACACATTCTCAGCATATCAAGCATTAAAATACAGTTACTAGGTGCATGGCCTAGAAAAGAAGACAGAAAGAGGTGAAAAACTAAGAACATCAGCAACACCAATTCATCACTTGTCTGGTGGAAACAGCAGGCCTCTAAAGGTGAAGGAAATCAGTTCCTACGTGAAAAAAATATAGAAAAATATTTTCCTCTGAAAGCACTCGGGTGGAAATGTGACATTTAATGAGTTAGTGAAGATTTTGCTTCTGACTTGAGTGCCACAGATCTTCCTCAAAAAAATGTCTCCACCATCCAGAAATCACAACAGCAAGTTCTATTGAAGGAAGAAATGTGCTAATATACAAGTGCTAGATACTATTCTTATTCATTCACAATGCTATGACATATACGTAAGATCTAATTCAGGTCCTACTAAAGTTTGATTTTTAAAAAAATCATACCTTCCTGTTGCTTAATTCCTTAACTGTAAACCACTACTAATGTTTGCATGTAACATCTTATGGATATCATCTATGAATTTGAGGCTATAACATTTCAATTTGAGGCAAGCATCATGAACAGATAAACCCCTGTGGTTTACAGATTAAACTCTGAAGAGTTTAACAAGAGCAGACTTCATATTCAGAACCATCTTGCAATACTCCCAACCATAATTAAAATATGTAACTGCTGCTAGGATGTCTAGCAAACCCTTTGCAGACATGATCAAATCTGTCCGTACTTCAGGTTTGCTAAATGTACCTGCAACTGCATTAGCAAAAATCTGCCTGAACTAACAGAACTAAGACTTTTTGATCAGAGCTGGACCCCATCCAGCCGCTTTCAGGGCAGACAGAGCTTGCTCATGTCTGTCTACAAGACTGCACAGACACATGAGACTGAATATGAAAGACAGAATTGTCCCATATATCCTTTTGGTGCATAACCTACTACTGCTGCAGACACAGGCTAGCGAGGAATGTACGTGGTACTTGAAACACAAACACAAGCTATGGACTCCTGGCGGAAAACAAAGAATTAAGGAAGTGTAAAGGATTTCCAGTCTTAGAATTAATCTAACTAAAAAATTGCTAGAGTTAAAATAAGTCAACCAATGGATAAATCCAAGGTTAAGAATATTCACTGATCTTAGTTTGGAGATGATTATTAACAATTTCAGTTTACTACAAAAAAATTCATAATATTTTAATAAGTTTAAAAATCACATTTAGAAAAACAGTTCATGTTTACTTGGTGTGTTTCTGCAGGCCTAACAGAGAGGTATAACAATAAAGAAACTCCAAACAAAATCCCCTTCCCAATGCCAAAAATAAGAAACCCAGATGGATAGACAGAGACACCAATCCAGACTGGAGCCTCTCCACAGCAACTACCACTTTCTCCAGCGCGCGGGCGAGTGCTTTTATGTAGCCCACACACAGCTTCTTCTAATTATGCCCACAGCTGTTAAGCAGAACTGCCTGTTCTGCAGCAAGGTGACCCTGCCAAACCCACTGTGGAAGGAACAACATTTGTTCCTTTTTTTTTTTAAAAAAAAAAAGAGGTCAAGTTACCGGGGGGGGCGAAAATAATCTTTTGAATTAGCAGCCTGATCCAGAGATCACTGAAGTCAATGAAAAGATTCCTATTTGCATCACTTGGATCTTGGATCAAAATACCAAGAACAGAGTCTATCTCCATATGCAAACCATGTTTTTCTAATAAATCTAGTGTGAACGTAAAAAAATATTCCTAGCTGCAGTCAGAGATATTTTTTTCAACTTTTAAAGTGTTTTCTTCCTATTTTTATTTTCTTTGGAAGCTGAAACTTTAGCAAGAAGGAAACTATCCAAAAAAAGCTGCAGTGGCAAAGCCTTCAAAAGTGTTTGTGTATTTCGGAAGTGACAAGAAAAAAAAAGGCAGCATTCTGCATAAATTTTAGCATGGTGTCGTCCATAAATACTTTGGTCAGCGTCATATACGTCTCAAAACACAAACAAAATTAATGATTGTTAGAGCTCCTATCTGATAAAAACCTTTGGAGCAAAAGATGAACTTCATATCATAAATAATCAGAATGTAAGAACAAATATGTCACTGCCGACTTCTTGCCTAAAGATTAAAAAAGTTAACCCCTCATTCGGGCAGTGTTCTCAAGAATACATGACATTCTCCCAAGGGTTTGATGGAAGGAATTAATCATAGGACACACTGTAAAAGTGTGTCATAACCTCGAGAAGGTTAAACATGGAGAGGAGCAATGTCAGCGCAGTGCAGTGCCCGGGACAACTGAGCAAGCAGCACTGGGACAAAAGCACAGAGCAGAGGAGCCTTAAAAGGCGGCTGTGCCAGGGTGCCAGACCACGGCTCTGTAACCATGCACAGGCTAAACCCTTCTCGACATGTGTGTGCCACAACATTTCAGTGCTGCCTATTTTCACAACTTTGAAAGTGTGCAATCATGGTATAATTCAAGCAGAATGGAGACATACTTTTAAATTAACGGTGTCTGTGTTTTTATCCCTATAATACATAACAACTCAAGAAAGATGCAGCCGAGCAAGTCTGAAAACTTAGGGAATGTTGTCTGTAACAGCGAGCTGAAGTTACTGTGTCTTGTCTTTTTTTTCTTTCCCCCTCCCTGAAGAGACACATGGTGAACACCAAATCCCTTTTATCTGCATTAGCAACTTTAAAAAGTTCCTGGTAATGATCTTTTAACAGAACACAGTGCTGTAATAAATCTGAACCAGTTTTATTTCATACACAAAGTATGCTTCAAAGACAGGAGGAATAGGAGGCACAGAGGGCTCTCAGTAATGGTCAGGAGGAGGCGAAGCAGGAAAGGCACAAGACGATGCAACCTACTGAAGCTCATAGCAGCAGTTAGCACATCTGCCAGACTGTGGGTTCATCCATCAAAAGCTTTCCCTGACAACCCCTCCTCCAGACACCTGAGGAAATGTCCTCCAAGCTCTACTCTCCAGGGCAAGTTGGGCCTCCCTGAGAGGGCCAATTTTTAAAGCACGTGGATTCACACATATTAACAGCCCTAAAGACAGAAGAACTGAAGAAAGATGGGCAGCACTGGTAGGAACAGTGCAAATAAAGGAGGAATGAATCTCCCCTGACTATACTCATCCCATAGAAATCTTTATGCAATCTAATACCTTAAATATAGTACCAACACTGACCAAAACTAAATCAAGCACCTTGATGTCTGTTTTCAAACCAAGCACAACTGCCTGAAGCTGCTTTTAATAGCTGCATTTCAGTATCTGAACCAAGTGGGCACTGTGGTAATAAAGATTTAAAAATTCATAATAAAATACTCATATAGAGCACATTTTTGGTAACACGGAGATGGAAAGAGATAAATTTAAAACTAGCATTTTCAAAACACTGATCTAGATGAGGCAGTGCCATTTTAATGGTCAAGTGAGGACAGAGCTCAGAGGATACCTACTCCAGCATTTCAGAAAGAGCTATCTAGAACATATTTTTTGATTTAAGATCCCTATGTGACCTACACAGGGAACACAGCTAGCTGACATACAAAAACAGAGGCATGGCATCAAAGCAGCTTCCCACCCAATCCTACTTCCTAAACTACTGCTCCTGTGGCAGAAACAATCAAAGAATGTCATTGGAGATTTGATAATGCAACAATTGCACGGCTTTTGAAAAACATTCTCTACAGCATGGTATTTCCTAGGCCATATTCTACCTTTTTTTTAAAAAACATTTCTTGCTAACACCTTTGCTGAGAAGATGAATAGTAAGACTAAAATCAGCTATTGCAGGCACAGTGTCAGGTTCTTACTGAGCAATACTGCTACAGAGATAACTAGCTAATAATTCTAGCGCTACTTTAACTTTGCAACTATTAGCATTTTTATTCATTTACTAAGAGGTTCTAATTGGTTTAAAAGGCCAGTTTATGAACTAGAAAATTAAATGTGACAAAGGCAAAATCAGGGAAGAGATACACTGCTGAGAGCGAGAAAGAAAAAAGATCAAAGAATATGCTAATAAACTGAATTTGATACTTGGTATCTATCTGCCTTTTGGAAATATCTCTCAGTCAAGGCAACATGTTCTTTGTTATAAAAGCTTGAAAGCAATAGTGCTGCAAGTTAGCGCAAGTTTTAGGTAGAGATTTATGAATGATGCATTGAAATGGAAACACGGGCAGTTATGAGTAGGGGCATTTATCTCTTCACCTTGATGAATGCTTCCTTGCACTCAGGAATTTTAAAAACAAGAACAACAAAAAAACCCAAAAAACAAAACACACATACACACACAAGAAAATGAAAAAGAATGGAAGTGACACTGCTAATTATCTAGTTATTATATTAAGATTAAATGTTATAGTTTCAACAAATTGAAAAGAAATATCAAATTAGTTAGAAAGGTCTTTGGCCAAATTCCCAAAAGAATTCATATTGGCATGCAAGAGATTTTTTTTTTAATTTATTCTATTTATTCATTTTTTTCAGTCTTTATACCAGAGAATGTAAATAATTTTAATTTTTGCTCTTTTAAAATCATCTAAATATATTTTAAAAGATTTGTGTGACATAATGGTGCTCTAATAATGTGCTGTTAAGTTCCAATAAGCTTTCCCTCAGTTTTCAGAATCTGACAAGTTTTGTCTACAAAGTATTTTATCCCCTTTAGACTTCACTCACACTAAGAAAAGATAAAATACATCCCAATGAGTAATACTAAACCAGCTATCAAACTTCAGTCAAATTCAGTAATTTTCTGTTCTTAATTTCTTTTTTTCAGGCCAGTCAACTAAAGCCCAGAGTATAAGCTTTCTCTTAGGTGAAAAAGGACAATATGAAGAGTAAGCAGCCAGTATACTGCTCCTCAGTTAAATATGTGAAAAAGCAAAATTAGGCAGAGATAGCGTTGGTATCGGTAACATACCAACTTTTCTATTATATTGTTTTATATTAACGTTTAGAGTATTATAAGAGATTCTGGTGCGGTAGCTTAATTTACTTAGCTTTTTTTTTTTTCTTATGAAAAAGTATTTCTGTGTAGTATTAACAACATAAGCAAGCAATTATTAACAACTGCACTTTTCACAAAGGGAATGATACAGCATCCTTACATGGTGTTCTTAAAAATTGTACCAGGAAATTTTCCTCAATTCTTTTTCTGAAGAGAAAATTTTCAAAATATTGGAAACAAGTCATGAACAATGCATTTTCTTTTTAACTCCCCTCTCACTATTAATCATAATTAAAAAATACAAATACTATGTGATGCCTACCTCTTTCATTAAGACTGTTTAGCACTGCCCTTTCAAGCTGCTCCTCTTCAGTAAGTCCACCTGTATAAACATCATAGTTCCTCGGTGTGCCGTACTCATAACCTGGATGATTGTAATACTCTGTAAAATTGGAATAAACAACTGTTGCTACTCACTGGGACATGGTGAAACAAGATATTATCCTCATACTAGTTTTCTTTCATAATTTATTTTATTCTAATTTTAGAAGGAAACAAGGTTAGAAGTTCCAAATATATATGACAATTTTCTAATTCACAAAAACAGTCCAGGAGAGTGATCAACAACAGAAAGGTGGACCAAAGACCTTAGGTCATCATTTTTCCAATTAATTATGTAAAAACTATGTAAAAACTTACATAGGTTTTTCAACACTAGTAAAAGTGGTCTCACTGGTTCTTAAAGTGGAAATAAGCTTTTAGGTAACTGAGGGCACTTACGCGAATAGTGGTCTCTCTGACGAGTAGGGTAGGTGGATGAAGAAAAAACACCTAAATATAAGAAGAATTATGCATGCATTACTAAAATAATCATATTGTCCATTTAAAAAGAGAAAATAAAGTTTAAAGTGTTGTTTCTTTCAGAATGTTTGTTTGATATGATACAAATATGAAACTATGAACATCTATAGACTTGTTTTTTCCATTGGTGAGTGTATGTAACATCGGTAAGCTTGTATGTGGCTCCAGACTTAATATTAGCATGCAATAATAAAACAATAAATAAATAAATAAAACAATATATCCATGCAGAGTAGAAAAATGCAAAAACAGCTAAAATATGTTCTCTAAAACATATCCAGAAAAATTTCTGAAGTGAAGTTATACCTTGAGAAAACTAAAGACTATAATAACACTACACTCTTTTTGTGCTGGTAAATGATGAAAAAAGCCTTTCCCAAACGATAGGAGCTTCCACTAAAATGGATACAAGTAGTAAAAAGTAACATAGTAACATACTGTCCTCTGGTATATTTTCATGCGTTTACTGCACTTTGTGAAAAGTTACATATTTCAATACCATTTTACCTGAACTCTACCTGAACTTTAAATATACATTTTTAAAGTACAGTAGAACTTATTCCTCCAAGCGCAAACGCCTGGAGAACACACTTATTGGTTATCATTCACGTTAAAGAAAGCTTTTCTTTTGCATTCTGTTTAATAAAAACATACCATCAATCACCTAAGTGCCTGGATTTTTCTAGTTAGATTTATTCAATTTAAAAAATAAAATAAAAAAAAATAAAAAAATTATTCAAATAAAAAAATAAAATAAATATCACAAATGGAACCAGCTATATACCTGCACAGGCTTTCATGATCTTTTTCAGAGGTCCCATGGTATACATCAGTCCAACAAGAATCCCTGCCAAATGCCCAGCAAAGGAAGTCCTAAGAGAAAGGAAAAAAGCTGTGAGTAATAGAAAGGTGGCTTTTTTTTAGTAGGGGACTGCAAATTTTGTTGTAAACCAGAAGCTTCCTGAGTTACTGGACTGAGACCAAGGACACAGAACGAACTTGTCTGCAAAGACAGTGGGGAATTCAAAGGTTTGTTAATTTCTGCTCTGACATACACACTTGCTGACTTCTAATTTTAAAGCATCACTTACTTGAAATGATCTACCTGGGCAGTTTACAAAACCCTCTGCACTTTTTAGCATGCTTATCTTGAGGAAAAGCAGCAAGATCCACCTCTAGGCTGCATCTGAGAACTGCAGCTTCACCACATTAAAGTCTGAGCCATAAAGTTAATCTTATAGCTATGTATATAGCTAGTATAGAAGAAACGCTTCAGCGTTTCTTGTGAAAGTTTTAATTTTGCCATTCTATGCTTCCTAGAAATATCCAACATGGTCAGAAGAATGTGGGCTAAGGTGCCAAGTTTTCTTCCTCTGACCTCTCTAAAAGTAGTGGGGATACAGAGTTACCGAAAAATATCCAACAGCTATCCTCAAGCAACTGAAAATCAATGAGCACAGAGTGTTTTAGCTGTCCAAAGGACAGAATGTTGCTCACGTCAAAGCATCTAAAGTAAATGCTTTAAATTGCTTCTCTATTATGAAGTTTAAAAAAGTTATAATGTTCGAGAAGCTAATATACTTTTTAATATTTACTAGCATATGTGATTATAAATAACTTAGTCTACTGGATTTTTACTTGCTGTCAAAATTCAAGTAACCCATTTTTCCCCTACTTTGTAAAGCAGAAATAAAACCCTTGTCTAAATAAAGAATAGATCTAATCATGACTTTAAAAAGCAAGCAAACAACGACAACAAAAAAAGCCCAAGTTCTGGTCAGAAATCCAAGACAGCCACACAGACACGGTAATGATGCTCCACATACTCATGTCAATACAACTTACAGATGCCATTGGTAGGAATATAAGGGAACATATATGTGCCACTAGAGGGAGATGAAAATCAACTCTAAATTCAGTCTTTTGCCATCTACTGAACCATGCTCTGGTACTCAGCTGTGTAAAACTGCAGTTCTCTTCCACAAGTTACCAGCAAAATTTAAGAGGGAGGTGTAAATGCAGGGAAAAGTTATAGGTAAAAAGTAGGTGGTAAAATAAACTATTTATAAGGAATTAATTTCAGATTCCCTGTTGCAAAAAATACATCTTTGCCTGTTTTGAAAAGTGTGATACCTATTATGGAAAATATTACATATTTTAAAAAACATTACTCTAAAAAAATACCAACATTAGATTATTTATTTACCTACATTCCTGGAAGCATTTTACAGCACATTCATGCTCATTCAGGCTTACCTGAGCCTATCACTGTTCCACAAAATGCAAAAATCAAGGTGAAAAAAAAATGCTGAGTGCAATATAAACAAGCAGAAACATCCAGTTTTAAGAAGTCTTCAGCAAAGCAAAAATTTCTATTTGATGACTATTGAACAGTTTAGCATAATAGGTGCCCAAGCTATATTATCAAGCGAGCCATAGATATCTGCTATTAATTTTTAGTAAAAAAAAGTTATATTAGAAGAGTAGAAATAAACAATTAAAATGTCTAAATAGAGTATTCTAAGCGAAAAATAAGATTCAGATACACACACTCATACAATACTACTGACATGTACGAAATGAGTATAATATTTGACAATCTATATCAAATTTCCCCCCTATGTTGTGATACATCTTCTACTCCAAGGCTCTGCTAGAGAGCACACATTCGCTAAACAAATCAGTAATAACAAAGCAACACAGTGCAAGACTCTGGAGCTATTTATTTTGAAAAATGATAAATGGTGAGACAATGAGATAAAATTCATGTGTTTATTTATACACACAGTTAATTTCCAAATTAAATTAAGCAGGTAGTCACCTACAATTTACACCCTTTGCTATAAAATTAAATCTTGCTTGGAAAGTAGGCAATGTAGTTAATTTACTCTCACTGAACACAAATTAAAATAAATCAAGTGATCACATAAGGGGAAGAAAAGAACAAAAAAACCCAAAAAACAAAAAAAAAACACAAACAACATAGAACCCATTTTAACCAGACCTATACAGGAAAATGCCATCATTTCTTTTACTAGCAACTTTTCTAATTCCAGGTATTTTGTAATAAATTGGGAACTGAGCTTTTGCTTCTTTTTAAATGCTAGATCTGACAGAATAATAAAAGACTGGAAAATGTTTCCTGACTATTTATCCCATAAGAGAGTCCCGTAAGAGGCATTCCACACATCACTAGGAAAAAAACAAAAACAACAAAACCCCTGCTGAGTACATTTTTTTCTAACCAGTTGTGCATCGCAACCCATCCTCTTGCACACTATTCTAGGTTCCCTTGAGAACATTGGGCTCAAAGTCTGGCTAAAAGTAAAGCAGGTGGCATCTTTAGTTTTCTTACAAGCCACAAAGCCTTTTCCAGTGTTACAGGAAGGAACCAAGTTGGTTTACCCTGATCTTTCTTGAAATGCCTTTTAGTTCCTACTACACTTCGATTGCTTCATAGAAGAACAGAGAGGAGTAAGCAGCTCATCTGGTCTACAACTCTTGGGCTCCCTCCTCATTCCAAGAGGCACCATCACTTGCCCTTTTCAAATTACCAGAACTGATTTGCTTCATTTCCAAAAATAACTCACGAAGGGTTCCAGGATCCCTCCAGCAGGCTCTAAATAGCCGCCTCTTGGGCACATTTACTAGCTCCAGCCACTGTAACAAGATCTCCCTGCTTGCTTATTCTGTGAATCTGTTATCAAACGAGAGTGTTTATCTGACAATATTCTCCTGATGAATTGCAATGACCTAATGATTTCTAAGAAACAGGACTGGTATTAAAGAAGAACATTAGTGCAGTGATGGCCACCAGATAAAGATTGGTTTCTCAACAATACATTAAAATTACTGATCTGCTCCTGTAATTAACAAACACGGGGCTTAAAACTTAAAGATACATGAATTTGATCTGCTCTTTAATTCTTATCATGAGGTCAAACGATGGCTTACAACTAAACCAAGAATGTGAAGGACATATCATGCTTAAGTGCCTCCAAGCCCAAATTACACTGCTGTTGCAGCTTTCAATACTGTGACATTACTGTGAAAACAAGCTAGTACTTCAGGTAAGGGATGTCAGGAAATCTTTAGTCAAAGCGACAGAAGTGTTTGTCAAGCAAGAATAAGCCAATTCATTGATTCAAACAGCTGTAACAGTCAAGATGTTACAGCAGAAGGACCACTTGTATTCTCCCTCTGTGAGACTTGCTGATTTAAAATCCATGAATTCTACCCATATCAACACAGCAAGACAACTCATCAATAAAACTCTTCAACAGTAAATATGACTGATAATCAGTGATGGTCAGTGATCTCCCTAAACATTAAGCAACGAGCAATTTAAAAGTCAACTAAGTAGGAAAACACATGCATAACAAAAGGTCTCACAAGTGTTTCAATATTAGAGCTTAAAAAAAAAAAAAGAAAAAGAAAAAAAAGTATTCACACCAGAAACAGAACCAGGGTTGGGACTGGGAAGGAAATCAAAATTTAGAACCAGATTTGTCAAAATATGTTTATATAAATAACTTTTAAATGAAAATCTCAGTATTCTTATTGATGAAGTTTGATGTTTTGACTATTTTTTGTTCAGATATTTTGAGATCCTGTGGATTCGTGGAAACCATGTGAAATGAAGAAATTGATTTTCATTATTGATACACTGTAAATTATAACTGAATGACTCATTTCCAAGTGCCATCTTGAAGTCTCGCTACCCCAATCACCTGTGAAGTGATCAAGTCTGGACAGTCACAATATGAAACATCAATGCTCTGAACTGCTGAAAAAATAAGATCCTCTATTCCTCTTCATTTGTAACTTTTCACTCTCCCATGATTCTCATCCTTTCTTACTCTTAACTTTTGGGGGGGAAAAAAAAAAAGCCTGAAAATAACCATAATAACCATGAGGTTGAGTTCCTAATCCAGCAGTGCCTTGTCAGTTTGATAAAAAATTGAGGTAATATAGAAACAACCTTAAAGATTAACGTTTTCTTTAGTAATGAACACAGGTCAAGCACCTGCATACCAAATAGAAGACGTAAATAGTACATGCACAGTTCTGGAATGGGCACAGAGATTAGAAGATAACTTTTCTAAACAAGTCTCTTTCCAAGGAAAGATTTCATCCCAAGGATTGCTATAAAAGGGTGACATCCCAATCTCCTCACTTCTTGGAAGAGCAGGGGTAGAAAGAAATTAAATGTGACTTAAAATTTCCCCATAACAAAAGCATAAAATGAAAAAGAAAAGAAAAAAAAAAAACAGTAAAACCCTAAATAGCACCTAGCATATAAATCTAAATTTCAGTACCCTCCGTATTAGTTTTGAATCCTTCATTGCTTATAGATTCTCTGATGATCCTGTGATACAAATATCTTCTAAGGCAGGCCCAAGCTGAACCTATGTCCTTCTGACCAGACAGAATTCTGCCCCAGTCTTCCACCTCTCACCTACGCAAAGCTAATTTACGCAACCTGACCTACAAAGCAACACCATTTAATCTGACACTTCAAATACTACAACATGCCCTGAGCAGGCAAACTGCATTGCTCTGAGTGCTACAATTGTTATGGTTCATTTGGAGGCAGTTACTAATTAAACACACTGTGTTCTGGGACTTGAACTTCTAGAAACTACTCCTTGTTTTCTATCATCCACCTTATCATTTAAGTGCTGTGAAATTGCCCTTAATATCAGGATGGCATGCAACAGTCCAGAGGTTCTTTAGTCCAAGTAGCAATGTAAGCTCCCACTCAAATTGTGAAAGTTATTGACATTAGTTCTACACCTTCCATACAATTTTTACTCCATCAATGACATTCCTGTAGTAATATAACTGAAACAAACAACAACACACAATCACTACCCTCATTGTTTTTCCATGAATTGGGTATGGTACAAGATGAGCATATGAGGTTTTATTACAGACAATGTTCTTTCACTACTTACTAATAAGAAGACAAGTAGGATTATTAAATATACACCATCAAACAACCATTTTTGGCTAAAATGACAGTTTATGTTTTGCAGAAGAATGTATTTAATGCTGAAAACTTTGGTTTTCTATGACAGTAGTATAACATAAAAGACCTCAGCTCAAATTTCTGTTTGGAGCAGCGAGTACTTCAGTACTGCAGTTCTGTTATTTAATTTGGGATGCCTTGCTGTAGCCAGTCAGGTAGTAAGTCATGAAAACAGTATGAGTAGTATTTAGAATAGGTAATAATTGAACTTTCTTCTCCTTTTCCTGGAAAAGGAAATTTTTCATCTATTTTGTAATAGTATTTCATGAGGAATATCTCAGTCTCACTCCCTCTCTCCTTTTATAACCTTCCTGAAAAGTAGGAAAATATGTTTGTAAATTGTGGTTTGATAGAGAAATAAAGCCATCAAATCTACAAACTAAGTTTGGTAGTTTGATTTCACATCCATCCTCCAGTACAGCTAACAGTTCTAAAATATTATAAACCACAAACTATTGACTTGCAACTACAATTCCAAAAATCAGCTGTCAAAGAAAAGGCAGGCACTAATCTGAAGGGGCTTGGGGGAACTGGGGGAATTGTGCTGGCAGAACTGAGCACCAAGGAAAATGGAACAGTGGACTCAGCAATAGTGCAAGGCAATGAAATTGAGGAAAAAGAAGAAAAGAAATGGCAGTATCTGGATAATAGTTCTATCTTATGCTAGAGGAGTGATTGGAACAAACGGACATTTGGGACTATGAGAGAAATACAAAGCAAAGAGAAATACAAAGCAAAGTTTCAGGTTAGCTTGTATTGCTGAACGCATATGTCCCTTTTCCTTGCCCAGCAGCCCTCATTATCTTTCACAAGCAGAGCATTCCATTTCTTTCATTTTGAAACATGGTCACACTAGAAGATGCTGAGGGCAAAAAAGCACCCTGTATCCTCAATACTTAACTGTAGTCTCAATAATCATTTTGGATAGCAGGCAGGTACTACCCAAAATAAGTTTTCAAACAACTTCAGATACCCCAGATCTCTTCTACTATCTTTGAAATATTAAATGCACTTACCCTGGGGAAATTAAATGAATTGCCACCAGCTCCACCCAGCAAGCATATTTATTAGATATCTGCATTCCAAGGACACTGCTGAATCTTCCTGGATTGTAATGGTTGTTAAGAACTTTGAGAGCAAACAAGACTCCTGTAAACAAAAGAACAAATCACATCAAGAGACAAGCATTTGGGTCCGAGTAATAAAGAAATAAAAATGACTCAAACAACTAAAACCATAGAACCATGCAGTTTCACAACACCAGGAAGCATACTGTTACATGCCAGAACAGCCGTAAGCTGCTTTTCAGTGATACCGTTCAATGCCTTAAAAAAATGAAACAGCAACAACAAAAAAATTACAACTTAGAATTGGCTATGCTATGCAAATATGTAAGTTACTTTTCATATACCCATTCACTGCAGCTATTGAGGTATTCAAAACAATACAAACAATTTTAAAATGGAAGGTGCAGCTGTACTAATTATTAAGTATCAGAAAACACTTCGTGAATTGAGAAAAGCCATGACTGAAAACAAGACAAAGTGATGCATTAGTGCTGAGTCTACTAAAGAGCAGACTCAAGAACCCTGAATTAATGGAAAAATCACCTTACATATACTCCAGAATCACTGTCTTTCTGCAACAAAAAAAGCCACATAAATCACCTTTAATCACAATAAATAACCATTTGTTACTAATTGAATACAACTGTTTTAACATGTAAGCAACAGCTGATATGACAGAATGAGTTCACAGATTTTACTTGAACTTTCAAAATGTTTTTGAAAAGGTTCCTCTCAAGAGGAAACTGAGAACAACTGCTTGAAAAAAAAAATCTGCAAAATGGCAAGTAAAAGATTTGATTCAGGAAAAATAGCTGAATGGATCACGATATAGATATATTACTAAACACATGAAAAAGGCTTCTCCCCGCCTCCCCCCGCCCCAGCTTCCAACACCATAGAAAACTCAAGAGCTAGCAAACTCCTTAACACACACAGGGACGGAGAGATTCTCATTCTATGATCATCCCTAATCTTTATGAGGAAAGACTAAACGAGCTGGGCCTGTTTAGTCTGGAGAAAAGACACTGAAAGGAGATTTAATTAACATGTTCAAGTACCTGAGGGGTGATTGTAGGGAGAATGGGGCTAGGCTCTTCTCTGTGGTGACCAGTGACAGGACGATGGGTAATGGGTTAAGTTGAAACACAGGAAGTTCCACCTCCATATGAGGAAGAACTTCTCTGCTGTAAGGGTGACAGAGCCCTGGAACAGGCTGCCCAGAGAGGTTGTGGAGTCTCCTTCTCTAGAGATCTTCCAAACCCACCTGGATGCCACCCTGTGCCACATGCTCCAGGTGTCCCTGCTGGAGCAGGGGGGTTGGACTAGATGATCTCTAGAGGTCCCTTCCAACCTTAACCATTCTGTGATTCTGTAATCTTAAGCGTGCTCAAATAAACACACTGTCTCATGCAAACTTCTGTTATTTGTTACTGATAAAACTGTACTTGGTTTAGAAACTACAAATTTAACAAAGGAAAGAATACTGAATTTCTCAAGTGTCGTTTAGCAATTGTCTCTACCAATCCATCCTCGGCTCACCACAACCTTGTATATGCAGCTTCAAATATTTTAGGTGCAAGTGTCATTGGAACCATTTAGGCCAGGTGTTCTGACAGGTTTCCCTGAGAAACAACAAACAGGTCTGTTTCATCGAACTGTAAAAACAAGAAAAAAAAAAAGAAGTATCCAGGCATCCTTAGGCTCTTGAAAGCTGCAAAAGTACAGGGTTCATAAACACAGATGCAGAGTGACTCTCAAAAGGAGGAGTTATCACCAGGAAAATACTCCTTTTTTACTTGTTCCACAGCTGTTCCATACATACACCACTCCCCGCAACTCGAGGAATGTTTATATGGGAGGATGTTGGAGGTTTATAAACATCAACTATGGATACTTGTTTTGTTGAAGTTGCCTTAGTCTACTGCTTGAATAATGGTCCAATGCACGTACATGTAGGCTGCATATTTCCAAGCTTGGAATATTCAGATCTGCCTGGATGAATACATTTTCTATATTCAACAGTAATATACTGACTATATAGTAACTAAAAATATTAATTTTACCTAAGCAAATTGCATCAACTACATGTCTTACCTGAAAAACCCACAGCACAAATCATTTTATATGTAGGGTCATCCAGTAGTTCTGCAAGTGCATATTCCAAAACCATATAAACAACTCCAATGAGCACTGAGAATACTGCAATTATATATGCAAGCCAAGCGCTTCCAAGCTTTCTTTCCAACATTATCCCTTTCCAAAGCATGGAAACCATGTTAAAATATAAATGCCAGTCATCTGCATGGTGGACAGGAGAAAGCAGCAAACGCCACCAATTTTTTCTGTAGAAGCTTTCATTTACACTGATGCACACTTCAGACAGTGGACCCAGGGGATTCAAAAAGAGAATAACATTCAGTGCAAGTGTCCCAAGTGTAACAGGAGGAATGTTCTGAAATCCAACTCGAGAAATTTCATAGAACAGCAAAAGCAAACCCGCACTGATTCCTCTTTGCCTTCGCTGCATTGTCACTTCTTACTCAAAGAAACTTGTTGTTTATTTCTAGTCTTCTCTTTGAATTCAAAACCATCTAAGTTCAGCAAATTCTGAAAGAAAATAAGAGATAAAGGCATTACTATATATGCATATTCTTTAGTAATGATTAATGACGGGCATTTTCAAATTCAGCAATACTTTTTTTTAAACCATAGTTAAAACTTCTCTAAATTCTCTAAACATTTGAGACAATTTGCTAAATTTACTAAACATTTGAGACATGCATCTTCCTTAATCAGAATAAAAAAAAAAATCAGCAGATTATTGCAATTCTTAATTTATATGAGATACAAATAAAAGATTTATACAGAATAACACATATTCTGCACAAATAAAAATCTTTATGTATAAAAGATTATGCACGTAGGAAAAGGAACCCTGATGCGGTCCGTGTCTGTACAGCAGTCAGACAACAGGGATGAATGGGAATGCTTCACCAGGATTACAGCAATGCTATGTGTTATAAGCCATTCTGATTATTGGAAGCAATCAACGTTGTTAGCCAAGACACATTATGTGTTCCATTAGAAAGGGAAAAAGTATAAGAAAGAAAACAAACTGGTTATCTGAGAGCCTTCTGGAACGCAGTTCATTTTAAACATATAGTGCTTTCAACTGCCTGAACATTTTTCCTCAGCCTCTACTCGGTTTATTAAAAGGCTAATGAGACTTGAAACAATGAAGCACTTATTCCATTTGCTTTTTAAAAACTTACCACACACTTCAAAGTGTGCAAGTTTCCAGAACAGATTTGAAATAGACATTTGTCTTACATCTAGACTGCCACGTGTCCACATTTCTTGTCACCTACTCAAGATAAATGTCTGAACTAAACATTCTCAGAATGTGTTTGTTTTGTACTAACCAACTGCAAGGCATTTAAACTTTTACTGTGACAACCCCCTTCACTTGCTTGGCAACCATAAAATATTATGATTTCATATTATTGACAGATCATGTAATAAAGTAAATATTTTAGTAAATACCTGTTAAAATGAAACATTACACTGTCTTTTCCTATACCTATAATTTGAAGAGTCCCCAGATACGCTTGTTCTCCCCAAAAAGGCACAGAACGAGGAGCCTCGTTGCATAAAGTTTTGATTCACACCTTTGT